TGGCTCCTGGCTGCTGCCCCCCGAGAGCAGGGCCGGCGGGCCTCGGCCTCACCCGCTGCCCGTCCCGTCCCCTCCGCGCCGCGCAGAGCCAGATCTCCGTGCTGCAGAACCGGATTGAGCAGCTGGAGCAGCTGCTGGAGGAGAACCACGAGATCATCAGCCACATCAAGGACTCCGTGCTGGAGCTGACCGCCAATGCCGAGGGGCCGCCCGTGGCGCTGCCCTTCCACATGCCCAATGGCTCCTGGCTGCTGCCCCCCGAGAGCAGGCCCAGCTTCTACTCCGTGGCGCCCCAGGACTGCCAGTTTGCGCTGGGGAGCCACAGCCAGAAGGGAGACCTGCAGGTGAGGCCAGGGGTGGGGACCGGGCGTGGAGGCCGCTGGTCTGGTCCAGGGCGAGGGCAGCTCCTGCCGGCGGGGCCGGCGCGCGGGAGAGGCGGCCGGTGCAGGCGCCTGGTGGCCGCAGTGGGTGGCCGGCAAGCGGCGAGGGGAATGGCCTCGCGCTGCATCTTCCTTCCCCAGATGTTGGCTGTCGCGGCATCGCTCCCCTATGACAACCAGGACGGCGGCGTGTGGAAGCAAGGCTTTGACATCAGTTACGAGCCCCATGAGTGGAACCTGGAGCCCCTGCAAGTGTTCGTGGTGCCCCATTCCCACAATGACCCGGGTAAGTGAGGTGCACCAAGGCTTCCGCCTGCTTTTGGGGAGGGACACCTGAGCTGTGCAGGACGGAAGCTCCATCCTCAGCTGAAGCAGCAGTGGCAGAGTCCGCAAAGCAGCGGCAGCAGCTGTTAGCTAAGATCGGGTGGAGCTGAGAGTGGATGTTGCTAGTCGCAAAGTCGCGTCCGACCCACAAGTGTGCTCTCTTGGTACACATCTTTGGTGTAGCTGCACTTAAAATACCGTGTGCAGTTCTTGAAAAGGGACACTACTGAGTGGAAAAAGTGGAGAGCGGGCGACAAAAGTGACCAAGGGGCTGGAGCACCTCAGCAGGGAGGGCCCTTCGGACATGGAGCACGGAGCCACCGGGAGTGCTTAGTCTGGAAAAAATGCAAGTAAGGGAAGACATGATGTGGGCGTTTAAAATTATGCACAGTATGGAGAAAGTGGAGGAAGAGATATTTTTCCTGCATGTCTAATGATGCTGGAACCTGGGTTCTAGTATTATGATTAACTCCCTTAGTTTAGAAGGGATTTTAGCCTCTTGACTCCACCTTTCAACTTCCTTTTTTACCACTTGCATCACCTTAGAGAAGTCAAATGTAGCTGTTGAACCTCTTTGGTGATTTTTCATGTAAAACTGTATTCAGCCTGATAGCACCGTGGTCACTGTTTCCAGTTGGTCCAACAACATTTACATCCCCTGCCAGGTCCACTTAAGATCAATCCCAGGACTCCCTCCCTTCTGTTTAGTTCCGTGACCAGCTCATCTAGGCACAGTCCTTTAAGAGAGGAAGAGTTTGCACAGCTATCCTAATGAATGCCCCTAGAACACGCATACACATCTAGCATGATGGACAATGAATACCCTTAGCGTGGAGCATGGTTTTTGCACGTCCTTCTCCTTTCACACAGGAAAGAATAGCAAAGATTTGGGCCCTGACTTTGCATCCTGAGTGTGGCAGATCTGCCCTAGTGATAAAGGAAGACTCTTCCAAGGGGGTTAGTTTATCCAGTATGCAAACCGTAAATGAATTGAGACAGGTATGCAATAATGACATTGAAAGTTATTTGACTGGTAAGAAGAACTAGAGGAACTTAAGGGTGGAATGAATAAGTTCATATACAGATGAGGCAGAAACTCAAATGCCTGTTGCTGGAATCCTTGCACAAGGTGTGAAAGGTGGAGAAATTAGCCCTTCTGTTCCTGTTTTGCTGCCAGCCTCCCACTGGCACAAGGCCATTCTTAAGCTTGCCTTTCGGAGGTTTTTCTCAGGTGCAGTAGCATCTGCAGGGGTTCTCTTGCTCGTTGTTCAAGGAGGCAAGAGGGTCCCTCAGACATGGAGCACAGGAAGGCCACGGCTGAAAGACCTGGCAACTATAATCAGCTTTAATGGCCGTGAGGGGGAAAGTCTTGTCAGGTCACAGTTTTTGGAAACATGGCGAGTAACTGGAGCAGCCTGCCCTCCTCCAGCCTCTTGGCAGAAGTAACCACGCACAGGGTTGTAACTAAAGGCAGAAACTGACCTGTACCTGAGCTCTGTGGGATTGCAGCTGGACCCGAACCTTTCAAGAGAGTTTGCTCCTTGCGCAGGGCCGAGGTCTGTCTGATGAAGTCTGGCTACCCGCGGAAGGTGAAGGCTGCAGAGCCACCACATTCTGTGCATTTTAGCTCAGTCAGAACATTTGAAAGCCTCCCCTTGGATAAACTGGTGTGCTTAAGGTCTAAATGCTGGTTGAAATGGATCCTGAGTTTAAATGACTACAGAGCGAGTTACGAGCCCCTCACACGAGCCAAAGGGAACCCCGCTTGGGGCCAGTGTGAGGCAGTGCAACTCAGGTCTGCTCGGAGGCTGTCGGCCGGTGAGATACTGCATCTAGTAGGCCTGCCTGTGTGGATTGGGGTCACTGGCCTGCAGTCCCTGGGTTACCAACATGGCCACGGGATCACAGAGTAGCAGAGAAACGGGAATTCATCTTTAATCAAATGCGTATGTAAGTCGGATCTTGTCTAGTCCACCCTTCACCTTTGCGGGAGTCAGGGCGCAGGACTTGTGTGAAAGCGGAAAACTGCAGCTTTCTCTAGCCCCAGCCCAAACTCTTTGCGGCCAGGAAATGCTGGAGAGATGCCCTTCTGGGTGGCTGGGCAGGAAGGCCTGCTTTGGCAGCCCCCTTCCCCTTCCTCTGTGGTGATCCCAATCTTCCGCAGTCATTTGTTTCAATGAATGGGCTTTATGGCCGTTTGTTTGTAAGTATGGATCTTTGGGACTCAGCTGCCTGTGGCTGAGGAAGTGCCCACAATGCTGTTTTTGTGCCCCTCAAAGGGTGGATCAAGACGTTTGACAAATACTACTTCGACCAGACGCAGCACATCCTCAACAGCATGGTGGTGAAACTGCAGGAGGACCCTCGGCGACGCTTCATCTGGTCTGAGGTTTCCTTCTTCTCCAAGTGGTGGGACAACATCAGCACTCAGAAAAGGGCCGCGGTCCGCAGGTAAGGGCGGCCCCCGTGTGCACAGGCCGTCTGCCCGCAAGGTCTGCAGAAAGAGGGCGGGGGCAGCGTGTTGAGGAGAAGGATCCCGTGAGGTGGGCGCGGCGCGTCCCCCCCTTGGCCCTTTGCGTGCTCACAGAGGTGCCTTGTGCAGTGAATGAAGCGCAGCAGCACAAGTGCTGGCGCTGGGCCCATGTCTGCAAGAGCCCTGGGGATTTCACAGCCAACGTGAGCCTTTGCTGCACTTGTGCGGGCGCACTCCGGCCTTCGTCCAGGAGGCAAAATCAGGCTGCGAGGCGCCGTGTCGACATGCAGGCCCTCCGGGCAGTGTTGCAGCAGGTCCAGGCTGGCAGAGTCGGAAAGCAGCCGCTTTTGGCGTAGCGGGCCTGGCAGCGTCGCCTGCTGCCATTCCCTCCGCTCCCCGTTGCCCTTCCCTTCCCGTCTTCGCAGCAGTCGGGCAAGAGCCACACGAGTGGGGGGCCTCGGGCAGGTGCTGGCTGGGGAGGTGGGCTGCTGGCGAAGACTGGCCGGCCCCCCAGGCTCCCCCAGTGCCCAGCACAGGCTGTGAAATGCAGCAGGTGCAGGTGGGGAAAGCTCGGGGGTGCCGAGCCTCACAGAAAGGGGCTTCCTCCACCCACCCACCTGCCCGCAGCGTGATCCCCCAGCTTAGCCTCCCCCCGGCTCTGCAAGCCTCATCCCGCTGCCAGTGTGTGGGGGGGGGACGTTGCAGCACAGGAAGGGAATCCTGGGGACAGGAGGAAGGTCTTTGCGTGGCGTGGGTCAGGCCCCCCTCCTGTTCCCAGCAGGAATCCTTGCACTCCCAGATGCCAGGAACTGGGAGCCCAGGGCACAATGGCGGGACGCCTGGGGTTTGTCATCCCTCCACAAAACACAGCGCAAAGCGGCACGGCACTGTTGGTGTCCCCCAGCTGCGGGCTTGGGGCTGCGTCAGTGCGTCTTGTGTCATCCCGGTCTGAGCCAGCCATGCCGGGGCGGGGGCGGTTGGGCCGATCCTGCAGCACATGGTGGTGCTCAAGGGGGCTTTTGTAGCCACGTGGAAACCACCCTCGTGGACGTATGCTGGGTTCGAGCAGCATGCAGCCACGACTGCTCGGTTCGAACCCACCTGTGTATGTGCCCGAGACAGAGACTGGCACGGCTGCCAGCCCGTTGAGGCTTGCAAAGCACCCGCACTTCCGAATTTGCCACGGCACCACTGATTCTCGGGTAGCATTTCCAGGAATGCCTGCCAGGCCCTCGTGCAAAATCGGCCGGAGGTGCGACGCTTGAGGGGCCCATGGGATCCCAGTCACCGCTACTGCACCGGGAGCCAGAGTGCAGACAGAGCCTGCTGCCTCTGCGGGTGCACGCAGCGTGTTCAAGAACAAGGAAGGCTCCCGGGCCACCTTGCGTGCTCTGCAGGGCAGGAGCAGAGCTCCCCTCGTGGAAATCCCCAGTGCATTTGCAGGTGCCCCAGGGCTGCCACCATTACTCGCCTATTTCACAGGCTGAATGGGCCCATGAAATCGGGTCTGACCCATCTGTGAGCCGAACTGTTAGCTCTTAATAGCCAAAGCTGGCAAAGCACCTTGCAACTAATTCTTGGAGGGAAGCCAACAGGCGTTCCAGAGGTTCCAACTCGGGACAAACTGTTACTCGAGCCTGAGGGTTAGATGATCAAAATGGGAACAGAAAAGGCCGTGAGCTTAGTGGAAAGCATGAAAACAGGTTGAAAAGACCAAAGTGCCAGAGGGGTAAATATATACACCAGTGTCATGTGGAGGAGAACATTGTGCGCATGTTGTAATGTCTGAAGGCACAAAGATGAGGGAATTGGGAGTGTTTGTTTTCAAATGGAAAAGTGATCTAATGGGCATAACAAATCTGGAGGGAAGAGAGAAGTGCCAGGGCAGCACAGATCTCACAATGATGCAAACACTATCCAGGCTGAAAATTCCTCAGACTTGCATGAGTCGCGCTGAATAAGCAAGCACATATTAGCAGAGCGAGGGCGCCCGTGGTCGGGTGCTTCTGATGTCGGGCTCCCGTTCACAGGCTCCTGGGCAACGGTCAACTGGAGATGGCCACCGGGGGGTGGGTGATGCCCGACGAAGCCAACTCCCACTACTTCGCCATGATTGACCAGCTGATCGAGGGGCACCAGTGGCTGGAGAGGAACGTTGGTGGGTGCCGCCGCTCCAGCTGAGCAGGGCTGGCCGAGCTGCTGCCAGGCAGGGGTGCTGGTGGGCCCGCTGCCCGCGGCCAGGCTCAAGGTCTGCTGGGCAAGAGACCCTCCCCATGGGCAGACCCCGGGGTGTCGTGCCGCTCCCAGGCAGCTCTGGGGGCTCAGGCCAGCAGCCTGCCATGGCGTGGCGTGGCGTGGCGTGGCGAGGAGGGCCGGCCGCCGGTTCCGGCCTCCGCTCAGGTGCAGGCATGCCTTGGGGAGCCGGAGCAGCTCGTCGGTGCGTGGTGGGCAGAGTCCCCGTTGGGGCTGGGCTGCGCTCCCGTCCTCCGAGGGGGCTGTGAAGCAGGCCCAGGCCCCCCCAGCCGGTGCACCAGCGCCTCCCCCTTCCGCCTGCAGGGGTGACCCCGCGCTCCGGCTGGGCCGTGGACCCCTTTGGCCACAGCGCCACGATGCCGTACCTCCTGCGCCGCGCCAACCTGAGCAGCATGCTGATCCAGCGCGTGCACTATGCCGTCAAGAAGCACTTCGCAGCCACCCGGAACCTGGAGTTCATGTGGAGGCAGAGCTGGGGTGAGAGGCGGCCCGCCGGCTTGCTCCTGGCCCCCCGCCCCGGCCGCTCTGGGGAGCCTTGGCCGCGCCCTGTCTGTGGATCCGTGCTGCCTCCGTGGCCGAGAGGCTGCTCCCCCGCTGGGCCGGCTGGCGCGCCCGTCCCCGTCCCCTTCCCCTGCGGCTTGCGGCTGGGCGGGCTGGCCCACGGCGGCCGCTGCGCTCGGGGCTCCGTCGGGCCTCCCTGCTCCTCCCGCCCGAGCACAAGGCACCTCACGTTGCCCCCACAGACGCCGGGTCCGGCACCGACATCCTGTGCCACATGATGCCCTTCTACAGCTACGACGTGCCGCACACCTGTGGCCCCGACCCCAAGATCTGCTGCCAGTTCGACTTCAAGCGCCTGCCGGGGGGGCGGATCAACTGCCCGTGGAAGGTGGCACCCAAGGCCGTCACCACTGCCAACGTGGCAGAGCGGTAAGCGAGGGGGCCTCCCCCTCCCGCCGCTCCGCTCTGTCCCCGACTTCCTGGCGGGTCGCCAAGGAGGCCACCGTCTGGGTCCCACAGCGGCTGCTCCCCCTCCAGGGCGCAGCTGCTGCTTGACCAGTACCGGAAAAAGTCCCAGCTCTTCCGGAGCAAAGTGCTGCTGGTGCCGCTGGGAGACGACTTCCGCTATGACAAGCCCCAGGAGTGGGACGCCCAGTTCCTGAACTATCAGCGCCTCTTTGACTTCCTCAACGCTCACCCCGATCTGCACGTGCGGGTATCTGTGACGTGGCCCATGGGGAGGCCAGAGGTCGCTGGGCCAGGGCAGGGCAGGGCGCTTCCCAGGAAGGGACGGTCAGCCGCCCTGCAGTGGAAGGGGGAGGGCTGCCTCCTTGGGCTGAGTTTTCGGTGCGGCTCCGGTGGGCAGGCAGACTTTGGCCACGGAAGTGCCTCCTGCCGCCCGAGGCAGCCGGCTTTTGCCGAAGCGGCAGCTGGAGGCCTGGGAGTTCACCCTGGTGCCCTCTGGCTGCCCTCCCGCAGGCGCAGTTTGGGACCCTCTCCGACTACTTCGATGCGCTGTACAAGCAGACGGGCACGGTCCCGGGCATGCGCCCCCCCGGCTTCCCGGTGGTGAGCGGGGACTTCTTCTCCTACGCGGACCGAGAGGACCATTACTGGACCGGCTACTACACCTCCCGGCCCTTCTACAAGAGCATGGGCCGCGTGCTGGAGGCCCACCTCCGGTGAGCGGCCGGGAGCAGAGGGCCTGCGGTGGCGGGGCCGAGCAGGAGGGCGGCCCGCCGAGCCCAAGGACGCGCTCATGGTGCCCGTCTTCCTGCAGGGGCGCCGAGATCCTGTACAGCTTGGCCCTGAACCATGCGCGCCACGCCGGCATGGACAGCAGGTACCCGCTGTCTGACTACGGCCTGCTCACCGACGCCCGGCGCAACCTGGGCCTCTTCCAGCACCACGACGCCATCACTGGCACCGCCAAGGAGGCCGTGGTGGTGGACTATGGGGTGAGGTATGTGCGGGATGGGCCCGGAGGGGAGGCTCCCCCGGCCCCGGCCCCGGCCCCGCCTCACGGCCCCGCCTGTCTCTCCTGCCCACAGGCTGCTGCATTCGCTCACGAACACCCAGCGCATCATCGGCAACGCGGCGCATTACCTGGTGCTGGCGGACAAGGAGGCCTTCCACTACGACCCAGCCGCGCCCTTCCTCGGCACCGTGAGCACGGCCACCCCCATCCCGCGTTCCCCATGCCTGAGGGACCCCGTCCGGAAAGGAGCGGGGTGGGGGACAGTCCTGCCCCCGGGGTGGCTGGGAGGCTGGCGCTCCCTGCACCCAGGCACCGAGGCTGCTTCTCCTTCCAGGACGAGACGCGCCTCAATCAGGACTCGCTGCCCGAGAAAGCCGTCATTGTGCTGGACTCGGCACCCAGGTGGGCCACGCTGGCGGCCCTCGAGGGACAGAGCGACTGCCGGCCGGCCGGCGAGGGGGCGGGCGGGCGGGCGGGCGGTGCGCATGGGCTGGGCTCTGTGGGGAGCAAGCCCGCCGTCCCCGGGCAGTGAGCCACGGCTCTGAGCACACGCCGGCCTCGCAGGTCCGTGGTGGTGTTCAACCTGCTGGAGCAGGAGCGCCTGAGCATCGTGTCCCTGCTGGTGAACACGCCGCGCGTCCACGTGCTCAGTGAGGATGGGCAGCCTCTGGCCGTGCAGCTCAGCGCCCGGTGGAAGTCCGCCACGGACATGGCAGCGGACGTCTACCAGGTGCGGGGGGGCGCCTGACGGGGGACCCACGGTGTCCGGAAGGGAGCCCGCCAGGCGGCTGTGGCCACCACAAGGCAGAGCGCCGCAATGCAGGCAGCTTGCCGGAGTTGGGGGCCAGTGTGGCCCGAGCTGGTCTCCACCTGGGAGGCACGGCAAGCCCCTCGCAGCTCCCGAGGGGGGTGGGTGCGGTCCGCTTGGGCCCTCCCCATGGCAGTGCACCTTTCCCTGCCCCACAGCATTCCAGTATGGGGGCAGCCCAAGCTTCGCCAGCCCGGTGCTTCCCTACAGATTCCCACTGCCATCAGCCGCCAGCCAGCTTGCTGCAAGCGGCTGTTGGTGGGTCATGCGCGCCTGGTGCGTTCGGGCGGCAGGGGCGCTTGCTGCCCTCGCCTGTGCTCTGCTTGACAGGTGTCCGTCACCCTGCGCCTGCCGGCCCTTGGCCTCAGCGTCCTGCACCTGAGCAAGTCTTTCGACAGCCACAACACACTCAAGTCCTCCGTGCGCCTCTTTCTGCATGGTCGAGACCTCCCTGTGCACAAGCATGAGGCCTTCCCGGTACAGGTCATTCCCGCGGCTGTGGAGGACTTCTGCCTGCAGAACCAGCACCTGCGGGCTTGCTTCTCGGGGCCCAGTGGGGCACTCAAGGTGCGCGTGGGCCGGCCGGTGGCCAGGGCACGCGGGAAAGGGGCCTGGAGGGGGCGGGGGGCGGCCCGCTCACTGGGCTCCGCTTGCTGTCCGGCAGAGCGTGCGCTACACCGGCGACGACCAGGAGCAGCCGCTGAGCAGCCAGTTCCTTGTCTATGGTACCCGCAGCACTAAAGACAAAAGCGGCGCCTATCTCTTCCTGCCGGATGGCGAAGCCAAGGTCTGGGCAGGCTAGCTGGGATTGGCGCTGTCCTGGGTGGGCGTGCGGGTGTGCAGGGGGCGGGCAGGAGGGCCTCTGTGCCGCCAGCCAGAGAGCCCTGCTGGTCCCAGAGGCCGCCGAGGGAGCGTGGCCCCACTTAGCTCTGTGCGGTCAGTGGCACGCTCTGGTCCGAGCAGCGGCGCTTCCTGCCGGAGCACTAGCAGGAGCCGCACTTTCCTGGGGAGGCCCCAGGGGACCCCCAGACAGACCAGCGACGTTCCTGGGACCGCCTCTGCCCTTGAGCGGCACCCTCCGCTGCCCCCTCTGGCTCGACTGGCCGAGCCGCCATGTTGCCTCTGCCCCGGTACTCCCTGCCCCCCTTTGCGGAGCCCCCCCAGGCGTCCGCAGGGGCAGGCTGAGATGCCCCAAGTGCTTTCCGCACCTTTGGTGGAGGGAGACCCTCGCTGCGCCTCCTCCCCAAGCAGCGCTTGGACAGGCCGCCACCCCCCGTCTCGTGTGCTGGGGAACGTTCCAGCCCTGGCTGCCGGGGAAGGGCTCAGGGAACTTCCCCGACCCAGGGCTTAGCAGCCCCGCCAGGCACATCTCTCGGGAGAACGTGCGGCTTGGCCAGAGGGCTGGTGAAGACCACCGCAGGGTGCGAGCCGAGCCTGCACCCTCCTGTGCTGCGAGACACACTGTGCTTGGACTGGTGTACCAAGCGGGGCTGGAGCGTTGAAGGCTGCAGCTGCACGGGCTGTCGGTTCCTAGTCGCATCCCGGCCTTGTGGATGAGGCTTCTATGCTTTTCCGGTGGGATCTTCCTAGCGTGACATTTGGCTTCTGTAACGGCATGTTCAATGCGGTGCTTCTGTTGAGCACTTGCGGAACGGTGGCTAGATTTCGTTGTGCTAGATAGAGTGGCTTGGACGAGATGAGCGGCCTTCTGGTAAGAGGCTCTGGTTCCTCCCACGCAGTCTTACGCCCCCAGGGACCCGCCGATGGTTCGGGTGACGGAGGGGCCTTTCTTTTCAGAGGTGGCGGTCTATCACCAGCATGTCCAGGAGGTGGTCCGACTCTACAACGTGCCAGGTGAGGGCCTGGGGGCCGGGGGGGAAAGCGGCCACCCCAGGTTTCACCCCTGACATCCTGGCCTCACGTGCTTCCAGGGGTTGACGGGTTGTCCCTCGAGATCTCCTGCATGGTGGACATCCGGGACCACGTCAACAAAGAGCTGGCCCTGCGCTTCAGCACTGACATTGAGAGCCACGGTGCCTTCTTCACCGACGTCAATGGCTTCCAGGTAGGGGGCTGGCGGGGAGGACGGAGGGCCTGCTGCACAGAGGGCCCGCCGGCCGGGTGGCGGCATGTTGCCCGCACTCTCGTGCTCCCGCAGATCCAGCCCCGGCAGCACCTGAAGAAGCTTCCGCTGCAGGCCAACTTCTACCCCATGCCAGTCATGGCCTACATCCAGGACACGCGGAGCCGCCTGACCCTGCACACGGCCCAGGCCCTGGGGGTCTCCAGCCTCGGCAGCGGTGAGTGGCGCGGTCGGGGCAGGGACGAGCGTGCAGGGCTGAGGCAGCGGCGGCCCTCCCCTCGATTGGCCCTGGTGCTGTGGCCACGGCGGTCTGGAGGGGGAGCACCCGCCGGCTCTGTGCGGCTGGCTGGCTCCAGGCGGGCTCCGGCGGCCGAGGCAGCCAGTGAGGAGGCCTGACCCCCGCCCCCCCTCGGCAGGCCAGCTGGAAGTGATTCTGGACCGCCGCCTCATGCAGGATGACAATCGCGGCCTGGGCCAGGGCCTGAAGGATAACAAGCGCACCTGCCACCGCTTCCGCCTCCTCCTCGAGCGACACAGTGCTGCCAGGAAGGTAGGAGGATCGGTGCCTCTTGCACCCTGCCGCTCCTCCTCCCCCTTCCCCCACGGGGCCTTTCAGACTCCCGGCAGAGACATGCAGGGGGATCACCTGGACTGCGCCTTCTCTGGGATGCCCCTTCCCTGGGATGCCCCTTCCCTTCCCGCCCCGGCCAGGCCAGGCCAGGCTTGGTCCCTCAGCGCAGCTCCTGCTGGCTCCCTCCAGGGCGTCAGCCTGCCAGTCGCAGCAGCCGCTGCAAGCGAGCGAGCGAGCGAGGCCATCGGTTGGGAAGCACACGGGGGCTGAACGGACTCGCTCACCCCGTGCCCAGCCTGGGCCCCTCCAGCTGGTTTGGGGTCCCTGCTCTTGCCCTTCCCATTCATTGCCCTGATGCGCAAGGGCCCGCACCGTGCTTCTGGACCCCCCTTCGCCCCAGCCGGCCCTTCGTTCTGCTAGACGAAATACGCCTTCCAGATGAAAGTGCAGTACAGGGTGGGATGGCCGTTGTCCAGCCACTCGCGTTTCGGCAGCGCCTGCAGAACGTCGCTCCTTTGCGTCGCTCCTTGGTTTTCCCTGCGTCCATTCGGCCTTTGTTCTTACAGCAGAAAATCCATTAAGGAGGGAAAGAGTAGAGCAGTGCAGCTGACAGGAAAACTGTGCCGTGTGGGGGCTGGAGCGGAGAGCCAGCTCTGGCGCATGGGAGTCGCCCCTTTTTGCTGAGCCCTTGCCAGGCATTCCCTTCCTCAGGGCTGTCTCTGTCCCGCAGCCGAGTCCCTTCCTGGAAGCGTCCTGCCCACTTGCTTGCGGGCTTGATTATCCAGAGGCCTGTTCTTTAAAAATGCCTGCCTGCCTGCCTGCGGCACAGTCCAGTTCTGGCTCTCTGAATTGTGCAAGAACTCAATGTTTAGGCAATTGTGCCTAATTTGTTTGAGATTATTTATCAGTCTTGTGGGGGGTGGGAATGTGGAGGCTTCCCGATCCTTTCCCAGCTCACGTACACAGAAGAGATCATCTTGCAATTTGGAGGAAGATCTGCTCAGTCATGGTAGCACTTTACCCTTTAAAGGCGGTGCTACCCGGCGTTCTGTGGGGCTGATGGGCTCTCTGGTTTCTTACAGAGGAATGCCCTGCCAGGGTGGGAAGGGAAGGGAAGGGAGGGGAGGGGAAGGGAAGCTCCCTGCAACAACAGGCGGTTGTCATGCATGGTTTCAAACAAGAAAAAAAACGTTTCAATCCAATGTTGGTGTTGAATGCAATTTAAAGCAGCAAGCAGAGCAGGCTGAGATGGCGGGGGGAGCAGGCGACATAATGTCCTCCCTGCATTCATACGATGTGTCAGCCATTAACTGTTCTTAAAAACAGCAGAGATGCGTTGGGGAAAGAGGGTAGGAAGGAGGATCGTGGTGTGTGTGTGTGTGTGTGTGTGTGTGGGGGGTCTTTCCTGCCACCCAGCCCCGTCCAGGCTGCCTGTTTTGGGCAGAGCGCAGCCAGGCAGGCGGCATGGGGGGGCCGGGGCACGGAAGGGCTGCTGCGGTCCCAGCAGTGGCCGCATCGCACCAGCAGGGACACGGTGGGCCAGGAGCGCCCCCGTGGGAGCGCACGCTCTTCATCCTGTCCGCTGAGCTTCGGGAGAGGGCAGAGAAGAGCCTTTTCATCCAGCCAGTGGGGAGGAGAACCCAGCAAATGCAGCTCTGGGCCAGGGGCACATTTCAGGGCTCCCCTAAAGCATTTCATTCCAGCAGGGGGAACGGGGGCCATTTTGCCAGCCAGTTGCCAGCGATGAGGTGGGTGGCGGAGTGGGGACGATGGGCCTGGTTCCCCCTGGGGGAATAGATAAGCAGCCGGGGCACGTTAACAGGGAAAGGCAGGCTGAAGAGCGAGGCAGAGCCATTCGAGGAGAGCGGGAGGAGGCAGCAGAGCTGTGCCAAGCAGGCGGCCCCGGGGGGCTGCAGGCGGCACAAGTCCCACCTGGGGCGGGACAGCCTGGCCTGTGCTCTGGCCAGGAGCACCCCTCCTGGGCCAGGGGGAGAGGCTGCAGGGGCACCCCATCCACCCCACAGGACTGCCCCCAAGGCAGAGGCAGAGGCGCTGCACTGCCGTGACGCGGCTGTTCTCACTCCCCTCTTCCCGCCCCCTCCCCCAGCGCTCCGGCTTCTTTTCCAAACTGGCTTCCGTGCTTAGAGACTTGGTATTTCCCCGCAGCGAGGCTGCCAGCCAAGAGGTAAAGCTCAGCCTGTCTCGTGCGCTAGCTGGTGGGCTGTAGCGGGGCCTCTGTGTGTGTGTTAGCCCAGTTCGTAGCGCAGGGGCGTAGCTTAGGCTGTGGGGGCTGCCCAGGGGTGGCCAGCGGCCCCCCTGGGCTGCGGCTGCCCTGTCTGGGGGCTCGGCCTGCCTGTCACTCCCGGCTTCGGCCACTCCTCGCTGCAGGCGCAAGACAGGCAGCCCGTCAGCTTCCCGTCGCTGCTGAGCCACATGACCTCCATGCACCTGAACGCCGAGGTGCTCGCGATGCCCGTCCTGCTGCAGGAGCCGCCAGCCCTGAAGTCCTTTCTGCCCCTCTCGGCCACCTTGCCCTGTGACTTCCACCTGCTCAACCTGCGCACGCTGCAAGGAGAGGTGAGCCCGGGGGTGCGGGTCAAACCAGGCCCTGCAGGATGCCCGCCCTCCCCCGGCAGCCTCTGCAGCCACTTGCCTCCCTGGCCGGGGGCCTCCCCGCCTGCAGGATGCCCACACCACGCCTGCTCCTCCCCAGGACGACTCCCTGCCCTCGAGCGAGGTGGCGCTGATCCTGCACCGGAAGGGCTTCGACTGCAGCCTGGAGGCCCGCAACCTGGGCTTCAACTGCACCACCACCCAGGGCACGGTACGTGTGAGAGACCAGCAAGGGAACTGGCGGCCTGCTGTTGCCGCACAGGGGTTCGGCACGAGCAACGCTCTTGCCAGGCCTCTGCTGCCCTTGACTTCTCGCCGGGGGGGGGGGGGGCACTGGTGTCCCCTGCTTGCCTCTGCCCTCACGGCTCTCCCCATTGCCTCCCAGCTGCTCCTTGGGGGCCTGTTCCAGGGCCTTGAGCTACTCTCCCTGCAGCCCTCCACTCTGACGCTGATGTACCCGCTGGCCGCCGCCTCCCCCAACAGCACGGCCGTCCACCTGGACCCCATGGAGATCACCACTTTCCGCCTCCGGCTTGGGTAGCACCTGCAGCGGGCCATCCCCGGACTCGCTGGCCAGCCACCCCTCATCCAAGCAGGGCCACTGGCCACGGGCACCACTTCGCCTGCCATGCCAAGGCTGGTCACGGGCTGCCCTGCTGTGGCACGTTGGCACTGGGATGCTGCAGAGGCCGGGAGGAAGCCCACCCGCTGCTGCAGCCATTCATTCGTCTCCTCTGAAGGACTCCGGGGTGCAGCTTCTGTCACAGCCGAGGCCCCCCCAGTGGTGAGTGGTCACGTTGCCCCGAGGAGGGCAGGAAGCGCTCTGACTGGGCCCCTGCCCTGCCCGCTCTCGGAGGGTGGGAGTGGTGCATGTCACTTCCTGCCCCGCGTGGGGCTGTTTGACCACTCCCTGGGAGAGACACAGACTTGAGGATGTAGCAAACACTGGAAGGAGGTAGATTTATGGACTTCCTGGAGCTTAGAACATACTTTGAAGAAACAAAGCTCTTTTTTGGAAACATTTGGTTTTGGAGTTGTGTTTTGGTTCTGAACTCAGCCAGGGAGCCAGACTGAGGGGAATGGAGGGGGCAGGTTGTGGGAATGTGAGAAAGGGGGTGGGGGTGGGGGTGAGCTGAGCAGCCAGAGTGCCAGGCCCTTGGGGACTTCCTGGTTCCTCTGGGAAGGAGACGCTTTCCCTGGGGAAGGAAGCTGCCAGATCCTGTGCCTTTGGAGGCTCAGCTACCAGCCGCAGAGCCAGAGCGGGGAGAGATGCGCATTTCCCACCCGTCCTATGCCAGACCAGGCATGTCCTCCCTTAGGCTGAGGAGGATGAATCCAGTTTGTCTTGGGGTAAGGCAAAGCCACGGTGGCAGCTGGTGGACGTCGCATGCGAGCATGGCCGGACTGCCACATGCACTGGTTCCGTTCTCATGGCTTCGCTTAACTGGGGCCGATCTCAGTCCAAGAGAAGTCATAAAGTGCCAAAGAGAAGCTACACAGTGAAAATTTTCAGTTTAATAGGGAAAGAAAACAATCTTATGCTGATGTTGCTAGGATGTACGGTAACAAATCTTCTATCTGTGAAATTGTGACAAAAGTTATGTATATGCACTGTATATAGCACTCGCTACTATCCATGGTTTCAAGCATCTGCTGTGAGGCACTTGGAACCGATCCCTACAGATCGGGAGGTCCTTTCCAAGCTGCCTCTTTCTGGTTTCCTTTCCTGACTTGGTTCCAAGAGATATAGAGGCAGCGGCTGCTTCTGTGAAAAGAGCCAAGCCACTTTAAAAATGATTCTGCACTTTAGCTGTTTAAAATTGCTGCTTTTTGAGCAAGTCAGGCGGGTGCTGGCTTTTCTGTGCTACGGACAAATGAGAAACGAACACACTCAAAGGGAGCACAGCCTTTCTAAACTGCTGTCTTTGTGCATTATTTATTGCATTTGTACCCCACTTTTATAATGAGCTCAGTGTGGCTTACACCATTCTTTCCCTCCTGCTCTCAATCTTATCCCCAGGTAGGCTGGGCTGAGAGTCTGTGACTGGCCCGGAGTCACCCAGTCGGCTCCACAGCCAAGAGGGGACTCGAACCCGGATCACCCAAGTCGCAGTCTTGGCCATGGTGCTAAAGCACCATTTTCCGACGGCGACAGCACGCTGGATTAGGTGCTGTGCTCCACCTGCTTGTCACCCAGCCGCAAGGACTCTTTGTGGCCGCCCCATGGGGCTTCCACTGGCCCCACGTGACCCATGTGCGCAGCCGTTGGTGCGCACTGCACTGCAAGCTCAGGCAGACCCCGCTTCCTGCTGCTCTGCTCCTGTGTGGAGGACGCCTGCCGAGGACCTTGGTCCTCCTTCCTCTAAGGTACCCCTGGCTGCCACCCTTGGCTGTCCAGGTATGGCCGCAGGCTTGCAGAAGGCCAGCTGTACAATGAGGAGCAGGATGAGAGCAAGAAGATGGCAGCCCCAGGACAGGCATACTGGGAAGCTGAGCGTGCAGCGCAGCGTGCTCAGGAGCTCAGGACCGTCGGAGTGCCACAGGAGCAAGCAAGAGCTCTTGGGCACCTTTAAAAGTAAACACAAGATTTCATGGGGGGCAGCCCACCCAGCACATCCAACGAAGAAGCCTTTGGCCTGTCAAAGCCTGTGCTCCTAGAAAAGCGTTTTGAATGAGTTTGATTTTTGGTGGTTGTCCTCTAAGGCCCTCTCCCTGAAAACAGGGTGCTTTCCCTCCCGATGTCGCCACAGCTATTCTGCGTAGGTGAAACAGCAGAGAGGCTTGTGCTGGCTTTGGAGATGGCCCAGGGTGGGGTGGGTTCTCGAACCCCTTGGAGCCTCTTTCAGGCTGGTTTTCTGCTGCACCAAGGACTTTCACCAGCTGCTGGAACAGTTCCTCCACCCCACCGGGCTCTGGGCCCCATTAGCGAAAGCTTTTCCATAATAATAGAACCTGGCCTGGTCCCTGCAGAGGCAAGCTGTAAGTGCAGCAGGGCCTTAATGGCTCAGGGAGGTGCTTGATTGTGCCTGGTAATGGATGCGGGAGCCAGGCAGGTCGGTGTGGTTTCGGCTTTCCCTCCCAATACGAGACAGCTGCCTCCACTCTGGGGTGGCTGGCAAGATGCTGCTCTCGCCCAGCGTGCTGCTGCTCCTGCTCTGCGCCAGGAAAGGTACTGGGCCTCCGGCACCGGCATCTCCTCCTCAGCACGGTCCCCCAGACTGCTTCAGGCACCTCGGCGGCGGGTGGGCACGCTTCAGCAAACCGGCGGTGGGAAGAGCCAGGGCGCACGGCAGGCTGAAGGCGGCAAGCGCTGTGCCGGCCCTGCACGGGCTTGGCAGCAGACGGGGCGGCGGCGGCGGCCAGTGCCTCCCTCCCCGGGCGCGGGGTGCGGAGCCGCCCCCTCGTGCGCCCTCCTAGCAAGGGCTGGCGGGCGGGCGGGCGGCCGTCGGAGCGGCGCCCTGGGGCACTTCGCGGAAGCGCCCGCTGCACGGCGGAGGGCCTCGCCGGGCCGGGCCGGGCCGGGCGGCGAAGCAGCGCTCTAGCTGGGAGGGGGGGCGGCGGGCGGGCGGGGGCGGCCCGCGCACCCCGGCCGGCGTGACCGCCGCGCTGTTTCAGCTGCAGCCGCCAACGCGCACCTCTGCGAGGGCTACTCGGGCCCGGACGGGCGGCCCCACGCCGGCTTCTACTGCCCGCGCCTGACCGACCCTCCGACCCACGCCTACTGCTGCCGGCCCGGCGGGAGCCGCGCGCTCAAGTCGTGCTGTTCGCGGGCCGCGCTCGGCGGCAACGGCTCCGCCGCGGCGGCGGCCCCCGCGGCGGAGCTCCGGTGAG